ATTCCTACAAAAATCATTTGTAGACCTCTAACTAGAGACTCACTGTGATAGGTTCAATTTTGCCCATCTCCCCAACATTCCTATGTTGAATGCTCCACCTCCTACATGACTGTATTTGGAAACAGAGCATTTGTGGAGGTCAGTAAGGTTAAATAGGTCATAAATGTGGGATTCTAGTCAAGGAAAATTGGTGTCTTTATAAGAAGAGACACCAAACTATTCTACCTCACCATCACCATGTGCCCAGAAGAAGGACCATGTCGGGGCACAGTGAGGAAGCAGCTATCTACCAGGCAGGAAGAGATCCCCCACCAGGACAAGAATCCAGCTGACACTTTCACCTGGAACTTCAAGTCACCAGAACTATGATGAAAAACAATGCTGTGTTTTACACCAGCAGTGTGTGGTATTTCGATATGACAATCTGAGCAGATTAATATTCTATCCAAATGCCCAGGAAAAGTAGAATGGATAAACCAGGGTACGGTCACACAATGGATGACTTTACAACACCGATAAGGGACAAACTATGACCACACACAACAGCACAATTGAATGTGGACCCTGTGGGGAGAGAAGGAAGCCAGATGCAAGAGCACATGGTTCTGTTACTATAAAGCACAAAACCCCGAAAAACTAGTATGTGCTAATATAGAAAGTCAGGACAGAGGTGACCACTGAAGATAGATGAGCAGGTAGAGGCAGGGCCTGCAGCTAGGCTTTGGAGGGCTTCTGGCTGATGGCATTCCTTTTCTCACACAAGTGCAACCAGTTTGTACACATTCATCAAGACATAGTATGTTGCGCACATGGGTATGTGCATGGATGCTTTCTTCCATGTGTACTGTATTTAATTTAAAAACTTGCAAGTTTGTACCAGGCACTAAGAATGAGTGTGGAGAGCCACACTGAATGACCATGCCTTCCAGTCCGGATGCCTCAGGCTCTGACCAACCACTGCATTCCTTGTGGCTTGGGCAGTGACCCAAGCAAGGGGGTCTTCTTTGTGGGCGTAACCCTAGGGCTGAGTTACACTCACCTGTTCCTGTAAACCTACCCCTTCTGCCCTTTTACGGATATAACTTTCTAAGAACTGTGTCCCCCAATAGAAGCTGACTTCTGAACATCATGTGTTCTCCCTCTCTCTCTCTCTCTCTCTCTCTCTCTCTCTCTCTCTCTCTCTCTCTCTCTCTCTCTCCCTCTCTCCCTCTCTCTCTCCAGCTTCTTGTGACTTTCTCTTGCTCTCCCTTTTGGGGAGCCTGAAGCCCAGGGCCAGAGAAGCCATCCTGAACTTGTGTAAAGATAAATTGTATAAATTGTTTCTGTGTTTTATTTTATGTACCTGCGAATTCACACGGGAGACCTCAGTTCAGCTGCCCAGGCTGGTCAGGGGTGGCATCTGACAAAGGAGGCAATAATGAAACAGAAAATTTCTGTAGATCATGCAAAGATTAGTTTTAGGGTAGAATAAAATGGTCAGAGGTGGCAATTATTTAATAAAGATTTCATTGTCTGTTCTAACAGAAGTTGGCAGTATCTTTTAGAGGTAGTCCTATTAGGAGGTAATGAGGTCACACTGGGGGTCTCAGCCTTGGAAGAGATTGGTATAGTTCTTGCAGGACCAGGATACTTCCTGTAAGAGTAGGTTGTTATTTAAAAAACAAAAACAAAAATAATAAATGAGCCTAGCCCCTCCCAGATCTCTGGCTTCCTGTCTTTCCACGTGATCTCTCCTGTGTATGTTCTCAACATTGTGATGCCACCTGCCATGAAGTCTACACCATAGTCAAGTAGGGGCCAGCCTCATGCTCTCCAACCCCCAGAACTGTGAGTTAGTTCAACCTTTTTTCATTAAAATAGTACTCAACCTCAGAGATTTTGTTATAGCTACAAAAAATGAACTAGGAGGATCACTCCAGTCTTAAAAAAAATGATTAAAGTTTCCTACAAGTCAAAGTATAAAAAACTGTCCCCTAAGTCCCCTATGGAGCCCAGCAAGCACTTCTTTGGTGAGTCCCCTTATGTTTGACCCAATCAAGTACTAGGGCTGCCTTTTTTCCCCTTGCCCGGCTTCCTAGGGAAGAAATGAGGCACATTCTTTGAACAAACTTTGAGCAGAGCCCAAGATTGTGACCAAGTGGAACCCATCTCTGCAGAGGGAAGAAGAGAGGCTCATCTAGATGGGCTGTGGTGCAGAACCAGGTGGGGCAGCTTCCCAAGTGCAAGGTCTGTGCATGGTCCCCAGGGAATGGATGGAGTTGGTGACAGGCAGAGTGGGCTATGGGACTGGGCGAAAGGTCCAGAATTTAAAAGGCTCTCAGGGAAGAGAAGGCCCCAAGAGCCCTAGGAGGAAAGACTGCTTTATGCCTGTATCTGAGCCTCCCTTGAAACTTGCCCCAGAGGCACAAAGATTAGAAAAGATAAAACTGCAGCTGCAACCCTGACCTCGGTGCTGCCCATGAGTTTAGTCATTTTAGGTCATAGATGATATCTTCTCCCTGTTCTCACACAGAGAGAAAGGGACAACAAGGTATATGATATTGATTTCTGATTTAACTATTTGTTTTAGTTTCTCTTCTATTTTGTCCCCCTTCTTTAACATTTCACCTGTCACCAGCCACCCTGGAGCCTCCAGGAAGGAGAAGCAGTTTCCCTGTCTTAGTGCTGCCCTCTGCTGGACATAGGGAAGTTTACAGGCGAAGACGGATGTGGTTTGTCCCTGTTTGGTTTTGGTTTGATTTAATCAATCAGGTCCAAGATTGTATTCGGACAAAAGGGGAGAGTGTATATTTTTAAAATTAAATCATATTTTTACAATAAGAAAGTTATTATATATTTTATATTTTTGCAATGATGGAAAAGCAGAGGTGACTGCAACATATGATATGTACTAGGATTGCTGAAAAGTATGAAGTGATACTTTCCTAAAGAGGAAAGGGAATTTACAGAGCGTAAGAACAGTAATTTTAAAAGGGCCTCGACTTTGACCCAGACCATCTTCTGCAAAGTTGGACACCATAAATAATATTTTTAAATAAAAGGAGTCATTTCCAAAATCACTTATCAAATTTTGTCCATAAATATCCAGAATATTAAAGCAGAATTTTTTAAGAGACTCTAGCAACTTGGAAAATATACATCCCACAGGATTAAAACTCAGTGTTTTGAATCAAAGGTGGATGCCACAATACCTACAAACTCAAAAAAAAAAATAGGTCCAGGTCCTGATCAAGATTATATTTCAGTTGTACTGGGAAATTAGCTTTGAGAATTGTGAAAAATTCCTACAAATGATTCTTCTACTTATACCACAGATGGAAAAGCCTTAAGGAAAATGGAAAAAAAAAAGATGTCACTTACATATCAACTTTAACTCCATAGAGTATCCAATTGCATGTGGACAGGAAGGAGGAAGGGCCCCATTTCTAGGTGAGCTGGAAATGTACCCCACCCCTCAAGATACCTACCAAAATTAGAAATATATTCAAGGATGCAGAGACTGCCGGCAGCATATAAATGATGTGTGTAATGCTCTTTAATATAATGGTGTTTTCAAAATGAGTTGAGTGGTGGTTTGTAGTTCTTCTTTTTATTTGTTTGTTCTGAATATCTATGTCTGTATCTAATCTCTAACTGGATGGATTCAGGCTGAGTTAGAGATGGCTGAGGCAGAAGTTCCTGGCATCTTTGAAACCCTCCTATGCACCTCCACTGTAATCTTGATGTAATCAAAGAAAAACCAGGTACCCTGAGGAATTATATGGATTATATGGATACACAAAGAACGAGTATATTCTTTAGGTATGGTATATATGATATTCTCTGCACCCCCATCATGTGGCTAACTTCAATCCCTCCTTTCTTAATATAAATGTTGTTTCTCCAGAGAGCATCTCAAGACTTCAATGTCAATAAAGTCCCCTCTGTTATATTTTCTTAAAATATCATGCTTTTCCTGAATAGCACTTACAAATGTACATGCTAAGATATTCAGCTGTTTGCTGATGGCTGTCTGCTTGTTATTAGTGGAGGCCAAGCTTTTGCTCACTATCTTATCCCCATTGGAGGTACAATTGATGCTCATTTGTCAAACACTTAAGGTCACTCCAGGTGAACTGGGCTGGCATGAAATCATCACACACAGAGAGAGAAACATGTTTTTCTTTGGGTCTTGTGATGGCTTCTCTGACCTTAGGAGTCTGTGGAAAGAGAGAGGCATGTGCTGAACCCTTTTATTGGGGAGAAGTCACTCAAATGAGGCAAGGGGTCAGGTTTCAGGGAGTTGAGTCTAGCTTTGTGATTTCTGCTGTCAGCAGGTTGATTGACATCTAGGACGGCCACACCCATCTCATGTGCTGAGTGGGGAATCAAAGTCAGAGCAAGAAAAAGGGACACACAAAGGGAGATTCCATGGAAAATTCTATCCCAAACAGGGCAAAGGGGTAGGATTATAAAGGAATAGTTGAGTATAACTCAATCTCAATGGGTACTCCTGAAGTCATGCCTTGATATCCCATCTGGAACAATACCCAAGTCATTTCAAAATGTAGTGACTGGTCAGAGCCTCATGCATCAGGAGTTAAGGGTGTGTTCGTCCAGGGCAGCTCCCAACACTCAGCAGTACTCGATGCACGTTTACTGAATGGTCCGTCATCTTGACCCCATCAGGGAAACCTCATTTCTCCTTGGCATCCCTGCTTTGCCCCGGCTGTCTAGGGTTCTATTTCTTGGTCCTTGACCTTGGATGATGTCTAATTTCCATGGCTGAGAAAGATGTCCTCCAAAACATCCCTATCTCCCCCATATGATTGCCCAGCTAGACAAAGAGACCCAACTTAAACCCAGGGACATCCGGGATATCCATTTTTGGCTTGTGGCAAAAGCTACCCTGGTTGGCTTTGGGTACTCCTATTTTATGTACCACACAGACAACAATAGAAAAACTACTTCATCTTGGATGCTGGGGGCAGAGAGAGAGTTATCAGCACAGAATCATTCTGTTGTGCATATTTCACATTCTGATTTTATTTCATAGGAGTCACAAGATCATTATTATAACAACTAAGGGGCCCACTGTTCATCAGACTTACTGAAGAGATCCTGTTGCCTTCCAAGGCCAATTACATTGGGTGGTGTTGAAAGGAATATCAAAAGGACAATTCCTAAGTCGTCAAGCATCAGCTAACGCCACTTATTCCACAAATATCTCCACAGAAAGCAGCTCATCTGAGGAAGAATCTCAGAAGTGGGAAAATCAGAATCACACAAAGATGACTTCTAAGAAGGAAACGAGAACAAGAAAGCCATGTGCAGAGAAAGGAAGATCAGAAAGGAATGAGGGCTGAGCAGATCTCCAGATGGAGACATAATCAAGGGGAAGGTCTGTGTCCAAAACACCACTTTGGGCTCTTTCAATCTCTCTCCGACCTTCAAGTTCAAATCCAGCATCAAGTACTGCTCCTGCTCATCATAGGCTGGCCAGTGGGGCAGGTCATCACTGTTAGGGTCCCTGGAAGTGACAACAGACGCCAGGTGACATTTTCATCTTCCAGGACTTTGGGTGGGGGAGGCTAGCAGGTTCACCTACCCAGTCCGAGCAAAGTTAGCCCAGTATTTCATCATGGTCCTGCTTAGCACTTTCTCCTTCTCGGTGGGTTCTTCTGCAAGAGATAAGCACATATCTAGCTGCTCCTGGATTCACCAGGAGCCCAGTGCACCTCCCATGGGATGATGCCTCCCGCCCTGCCAGATCCCAACAATCTCACCATCTTACTCTACCCATTTCATATACGCAGCTACCAGAAGCAACTGGGATGTGTGCAAAGAATCGTGATGAAAGTCGGCCTTGTCTCTCCCCCGCTCTTCCATCTGGCTGCAGGTTACTTGGGGACACAGAAACCTCTCTCCTACCCACCCTGTCCCCATACATATACACACTTCAACAAACAATTCATTACAGCTGTTTCTTGTATGCCCAGGGTCTTGTTCCATGACACACCTGCAAGAATGCTCAAGTTCTTTGTTTTGTTTCCAATCTTTTGTTTGTTAAAGTAATGCTTTAGTGTGCACATGCACTTTTGCACATGAGGAGGTATAATTACACAAAAATTCTTAGAAATGCCACACTAAACACTGCATGCCTTTTAAAGGTCAATAAGATTTTTCTATTAATGCATGAAAATGTCTTTTTCCTTTGTCTGCTGAAACACACTGTCAAAAATACTTTGTTCATTCCACCTTGATGGATGAAAAATGACTTCTCAGCCAAGGGGAGTCCACAACTCTCAAATCTGCAGTGGGATTGAGTGGATTTTCGTGGTTAAAAGCCACTTACTTCCCTTTCAGAAACCATCTGTTTGAGTGTTTCCCAGTTATTGATGGGTTTGGGGATTTTTTTTCTTATTAACTTGAGGAGCCCCCCCCCAGATATTAGGAATTTAATCATTTGATACACAGGTGGCTATTTTATCCAGTTTGGAGGATCCATGTGCCATCATAAAGTACAGGTTCAGTCATGACTGCTGGGTAAGAACAGTGACGTTCAGTGAGCACTCATTGGGACTGGGGATGTAGCTGAGTTGGTAGAGTGCTTGCCTCACATGCACAAGGCCCCTGGGGTTCAAACCCCAGCACCACACACACACACACACACAAAAAAAAAGAAGCACTCCCTGTTTGCTTTATGACAATTATTTCATTCTCTTAACAACATAAGAGATCTATCATGATCTGAATTACAAGATGAGGATGAATAAATGGAACAACGAATAAACCACAGTCTACAAATACATCCTGTTTGTATTAGTTAGGAGCCTGGATTATGCAATATTTTCAACTAAATATTTTAGTGATAGTTCCTACTGTGTCATTTTTCTGTTGATTTTGTTCAGTGATGACTATATCTGGTTGGCTTATTTTAGGCACTGAATACATCCTAAATTCAAAAATAAATAAGTGAACATTGTTGGTAACTGTTCACAAGTGTATCTGGAGCTGGAATTATAAAAATACTATAAAAATCATGGGTGCTGGGCTGGGGATGTATTGGTGACAGAGTGCTTGCCTAGCAAGTGAGGAGACCCGGGTTTACTCTCTGGTGCAGGGGGTGCCTAGAGCCTGCCTTCCAAAATCCTGGATGTTTCCTCAGAGAACTTCCCGGGAAGGATAGGGATGGTGAGACCAGTGGTCACGGAAAAGGAAGAAAACAGATCTAATTGGCTTTCTATATTTGAATGTCCCAAAGTTCACTTCCCACAGGCCTCAGCACATGAAGTCTCATGAAGCACTGGTGGCAGCTCTTTTTCATCTTGCTTTCTAAAAATCCAAGTGGGCTTTTTCCAGAGAAAGGACTGCAAACCAGCCCCTCAGTATCCCATGACCCGCCCAGGCTCTTGCACGGAGCTGGGATGAGCAGGGTCTTATGTCACCAGCAGATTTCTCCCCAGCTCATCCTAAGTTCCACATTTCCTGCAAGAGCAGAAGCCCCTGCAGCCAGTTTCTTACCAAACATGACAATGTCGTTGTTCAGAAAGGGACCTCCGAAGACAAAGCGGATTTCATCCGTGTGGTCAGCTTTGACAAAGGCTGGCTTCGTGTTTTCAAAGACCTGAGGCCGGTGCTGAAACTCATAGAAGTACACAGGGGCACCAGCATCTGAGAGAAGGTTGGGGACGGTCAGGAGTGCATCAGGTGGAGCAAGGGGCTGGCCCTGCATCCCTGCAACCAAGTCCTGATTTACATACCCACAGGTGGGACAGCGCAGACAGGAGGTGACTAGCCCAGGTTCCCCCTTCACATTTGAGGTTAGAGTTTGCTCCTACAGCAGCCCTCATGACAAAGAACCCTCTACCCCTCCAGGCAGCCTAAGAAGGCAAAAGTTCTACTCCTCAAAAGATTCCTTCCTACTGAGCCAAGATCTACCTTGATGCAGCTTCCTCTTAGTGACTCTGGTTCAAATGTCGGGAGACAGAGTAAGGTTACCTCCTGGTTTCCTAGACAACCCATGAGCGTGCATCCTAAATTCCTCTCTTCTACTAAAGGTCTTGCTCTGGAATTCCCAACATACATGCACACACACACACACACACACACACACTTGGTTTCACTATCCCTTCTAGTCACTGGCTTGTATCTGCATCTTTTCCAGCAAGACCTCACCACACAATTGTCTTATACTTTTCTCCACTTCCCCTCCTCTGGTTCTGTTTTTATTGAAGTATCATTTGTGGATAATAAAAAGCACAGATCTTAAGTGGAGAGTTTGGTGAGTTTTTTCGAATGGTTAGGGAGTCCAGTAACCTCCAGCCCAGTACTTCCTCCATCCCAGAAAGGTTCCTTCTGGTCACGCACTTGAGAGACCACCAGTCTTATTCCTCTTACATAATTTTCTGCTCATGAACTTCTCATAATTGAGTTAATAGAATAGGTACTCTATTATATATTCTCTGGCTTCTTTTGCTCAGCATAATGTTTTTGAGTTTCATGAATGTTGTGTACGTACAGATTGATTCTTTTTATGATTCTTTTTATCACTGAGTATTACGCTATTGCATGGATATACCACAATTTGCTTATCCGATCATCTGATGATAGATATTTGGGTTGTTTCCAAGTTGGGGCTACTACAATTAAAGCAGCTATGAACATTCATGTTCATGTCCTTTTTTAATGGACATATACTTTCACCTTTCTTCAGTAAGTTGCAAGAAGCAAAAAGGTTGAATAATGGGGTAGGTGTGTTGAGCCTAATTTTTAAAATGCCAGTTTTCCAGAGTGGTGGTACCACTTTGCTTTTCCACAAGAAAGATCTGAGAGCTATGAACATTTCACAGTCCTGGGAATACTTCTTGGTATGGTTGGTGTCTCTTATCTTAGGTATTCTAATGAGCATAGTTACCTCATTTGGGGTTTATTTTGCATTTCCCTGATGATTAATGATGTTGAACACCTTTTCATGGGTTTTGAGACTTTCACATATTCTCTTTTGTGAGGTGTCTTTTCAAATCCATTACCCATTATTAGGAAAGACATTTTTATTACTGAACTGTAAACGTTTTTTTTTTCTATTTTGGGTATGAATTATTTGTCAGATAATTGTACTGTGAGTATTTTCTTCCAGTCTGTGGCTTGCCGTTTTTAGGTAAAATACACTTAACATAAAATTCACCACTTTAACTGTTTTAAAGTCTATAATTCAGCGGTTTTTAATCCATTCAGAATATTGTTCAACCATCACCACTATTTTAGGCCAGGAAAGTTGCCAACACTCCAAACAAAAGCCCCAGATCCACTAAGTAATTTCTCCATTCACCCCTCTCCTCAGCCCTTGGAGAATACAATTCTTTCAGTCTGGACATTTCATGTGAATCATACAACATGTAGCTTTTTGTGTCTGGTTTCTTTCAATTAGCACAGTTCCAAAGGTTCATCCATGTTGTAGCATGTATCAATATTTCATTCATTTTCTTGGCCCATTAATAATTCATTGTAGGACTATACAACATTTTTAAATCTATTCATCCATCAATAGGAACTTGGGTTACCACTGGGGACTATTATAAGGATGCTATGAACATTCATGTACAATTTTTATTTGAATGCCTGTTTTCAATTATCCTGTGTAGCTTCCTAGGGGTGGATGGGCTCAGCTGGGTAACTTTTCTGAAGAATGTCCACACTGTTTTCCAGAGTGGCTGCACCATATGTCCCCACACAGAGCATATGAGGGTTCCACAGCCTTCACAGCTGCTATAATTGGGATCTGGAATGTTCCACAAAGACTCATGTGATAAAGGCTGGGCCTCAGCATGTTGCTATCAGGAGTTGGAGGAATCTTTACAGGTGGGGCCTAGCCAGAGGCCTTCAGGACCCCAGGGTGTGCCCTGGAAGGGGACAGTGGGGCCCAGTTTCTTCCTCTTCTTCCTTGTCACCTCCAGAACATGAGGTAAACGGTTTTGCTAGGCTCCTTACTCCTTCCATGACATGTTCCCACAAGCCTTTCAGATCATTGACTGAAATCTCCAAAACCATGAGCCAAAATGAAACTTTCAACTTTATAGGTTGATTACCTTAGAGATTTTTTTTTACAATAACAGAAAATTGACTCACACAACAATCTTTGTGTTTTCTTCTTCTTCTTCTTCTTCTTCTTCTTCTTATTATTATTATTATTATTATTATTATTATTATTATTATTATTTGTTTTTTGTTTAAATGATGGCCACTTTAGCAGATAACACATATAAAAGAATGGAGGTGGATTCTTCCCTCATAGTATGTATAAAAACTAAGTCAAAATGAACCAAGACATAAATGTAGGAGATAAAGACATAAATGTATGTGATCTGGTGAATTTTGTGAATTTTATAGACTTTAGAATTTTCTAAAGTCTTATAAGATAACTCAGGGGTGAATTTCCCTTGTCTTGTATTTGGCAATGGAGTCTCAGATCTGACACTGAGCACATAGTCAACAAAAGGAAAAACAGCCACGTTGCACTTTTTTGAAACTAAAAACTATTGCACAGTGATTGCACATTATCAACAGAAAAGAAGGCAACCCAAAGAATGAGAGAAAATATTTGCAAATCATATATCTCATAAAGAATTAATAGCTATAATATATAAAGAATTCCTAAACTCAACAACAAAAACATCTCAGTTTAAACATGGGCAAAAGACTTGAGTAGACATTGCTTCAAAGAAAGATATACAGGTATCTAAAAATCATGAGAGAAGATGCCCAACATCTCCAATCATCAGGGAAATGCAAATAAAACTCATAATGAGGTATAATCTGACATCCATTAGGAGAGTTATTACTTTAAAAACTATAGAAAATAAATGTGGTAAAGATATGGAGAAATTAGGGGTGCAGCCACTGTGGAAAATGACATAGTAGCCCTCAAAAAAAATAGAGAATTACCATAGCATCCAGCAATTCCATCTGTGGCATACATCTGAAAGAATTGAAGGAAGGGTTTGAATAGGTATTTGTACACTCCTGTTCATAGCTGCACTATTCACAATAGCCAAAAGGTGGAAATAAACCAAATGCCCATTGATAAATGAATGAATAAACCAAACAATGGATGGGTATGCATAAAACGAAATATTATTCAGCCTTAAGAAGGAAGGAAATTTTGTCACATAAAACAAAACAAAAAAAATGAGGTAACTGAAACAGTCAAACTCATAGGTACAGAAAGCAGAGCTAGAGGGGATGAGGAGATATTTTTAACTAGATAAGAGTTTCAGTTTGGGATTATAAAAAAGATCTAGAGGAGTACTGTGATGGTGGATGCACAATAATGTGAATGTGATTCTACTGAACAATAAACTTTAAAATGGTTAAAATGGTAAATGTTTTGTTATGCATATTTTATCACAATTTTTAATGTAAAAGAAAACCAATATGCTGTTTAATTTCTCAATGTTGGTGAATTTGGTGAATTTTCTAGGCCTTTTTGTTGTTTATTTCTAACTTCATTCCACTGTGGCTAGCAAAGATATTCTGTATAATTTTCACCCTTCTAAATGTATTGAAATTTGCTTTGTGGCCTAATATACAGCTTATTCTGTAGGATACTCCATGTGCATTTGAGAAGAATATGGAGTCTGATTTTTTTGGTGCAATGTTCTTTACCTGTTTGCTCTGGTTAGTTTATGGTATTGTTCAAGTCTTCTGTTTTGGTCTTTATATTAGATGGGCTGCTATTGAAAGTGAAATTTTGACATTTTCAAAACATTATTTTAAAAATGTCTGTTTGTGGTCTGGGGATGTGGCTCTAGTGGTAGCGCGCTCGCCTGGCATGCGTGCATCCCGGGTTCGATCCTCAGCACCACATACAAACAAAGATGTTGTGTCTGCCAAAAACTGAAAAATAAATATTAAAATTCTCTCTCTCTCTCCCTCTCTCTCTCACTCTCTCTTTAAAAAAAAGAAATGTCTGTTTGTCCCTTCAAATTTTCATTATCACTTTTTACTTCATGATTTTATGGTTATATTGTAAGGTGCATGAGGGCTCATAATTGTGATATCTTCTTAGTAGAGTCAACCTTTTATCCTTTTACACCATCCTTCCCTTCTATCATAACAATTTTTGTCTTAAAATCTATTTTGTGTAGCCGGGTGTGGTGGCACATGCCTGTAATCCCAGCAACTCCAGAGGGCCAGGCAGGATAATTGCAAGTTTCAGGCCAGCTTCAGCAATTTAGAGAGACCCTAAGCAACTTAAGTTTCAAATTTTTAAAAATTTAAAGATTGGAAATGTGGTTCAGTGGTTAAGTGCCCCCGGGTTCAATCCTAGGTAAACCTCTCCCTTCATAATTATTTTTTTCTGACTTATGCAATCACTCCAACTCTCTTTGGTTACTCTTTGCACAGAATATGCTCTTCGATTCTTTCACTTTCGAACAATTTATATCTTTGGTTCTAAAATGAGTCTCTTGCAGACACCATGTATCATGTTTTCTTTAGTCCATTCTGCAATCTCTGTCTTGAGAAGTTAATCCATTTACATTTACTATAATGATTGATAAGGAGAATTTATTTCTGTCATTTTGCTATTTGTTTCCTATATAACTTTCATCATTTTTGTTTTTCAGTTCCTCCATTTTGTGTTAGAGATTTTCTAGTGTATCATTTTGATTCCTTTTTTATTTCTTTTTCTGTATTTTTTTTGTTTTTGAAGTGATTGTTGTGGGGTATTATAATTACCAACTTATACTAACCTAGTTTAAATGAATATCAACTTTGTTCTACTAGTACACAAAAAACTTATATAGATCCATATCCTCTTTATGTTGTTAACATCCAGAAACTACATCTTTATACATTGGGTACCACTAACATAGATTTATAATGATAGTTTTATTCAGCAGTCTTTTAATCATAAAGAAAAAAGAGTAATTATAAATCAAAAACATATTAATACTGACTTCTATATTTACTTATATAGTTACTTTTAGGGGTGTTCTTTATTCTTTCTTGTGGATTTGAGATATGTTCCAATGTTTTTGTTTCAGATTTAAGAATTCTTTTTAGTATTTCTTCTCAGGTAGGTTTACTACCTACAAAGTCAATTTGTGTTAACCAGGAGTATAATAATTTCTCCTTCACCTGTGAAGGATAAGTTTGCCACATATAGATTCCTTGGTTGGAAGGCTTTGTGGATGTTTTTCCTTCCTTCCTTCTTTCCTTCCTTCTGTTCTTTCTATCTCCACTTTAAAATGTCATTACATTGCTTTATGACCTCCATTGTTTCTAGTGAAAAAAACAGCTGTTAATCTTATTTAAGTTACTTTGTACATGGCAAGCATCTTCTCTCTTATTGCTTGCATGAGTTGATCTTTGTTTTGACCTTTCATTGTTTGTTTATAATGTGTGTCTTTGCAGTCTTTGAGTTTTTCTTATTTGGGTTTTACTAAAATTTGGGGTATGTATATTCCTGTCTTTCATCAAATTTGGGGTATTGTGACCTTTACATTTCTTGCTGACTTTTTTCTCTGTCCTCTGCTTCTTGAGCTCCTATTATGGACATATTGAGATAGTCAGTGTTATTCCAGAGGATTCTTAGGATCTGTTTGTTTTTATTTGTTATTTTTTCTTTGTGATTCCCATATTGGAGAATTTCAATCTTCAATTTTATTATTCTTCCTTTGTATGCTCAAATCTGCAATTTATTCCCTATAGCAAATATTTCATTTCAATTATTATACTTTTCCACTCCAAAATTTTTCTTTGGTTTATTTTCACATCTTTATAAATTCTGTCACTTTATTTATATTCCCTAATTGTTGATAAGATATTCTCAAGAATTTCCTTTGGTATTTTTTTCTTGGTTTTCTTTAGCTATTTAAATATATTTAAAATAGTTCATTTAAAGTCTTTTCCCAGTAATTACAATGTCTGGACTTCCTCAAAGACAGTTTCTATTAATTTCTTCTTTTCCTCCCTGAATATGAATCACACTTTCTTATTTCTTTGCCTGAATTTTTTTTTTTGCTAGAAACTGGATATTTTTAAGTATTATAACATGAAAATTCTGAACATCAGATTTTTCCTTCTCCCTAGGGTTTCTACTAATCAGTATGGTTGCTGTTGTTTATTTGTTTACTGATGGTTTCTCTGCGCTAATTTTATAAAGCCTGTACTCTTTATCATGTGTGGCCATTGAAGTCTGCATTCTGTTATTGTAGTGTTTAATCTAATGATTTAACAGGTCAGCTGAGATTTACATAAATGCCTGACGCCAACCAACAAAAGAAAGAAATTAAGAAAGAAAAACAAATGAATAAATATCTTTTCAGCCAGGCTGAGTGTGTGTGTGTGTGTGTGTGTGTGTGTGTGTGTGTGTGTGTGTGTTCAAAGACACTTTTAACACTTGGCAGGGTAGTTTACCTTAACCAAGTCAACTTTAGTCTACATTAGCTTTTTCTTTCTGCTTGAACAGAGCCTGAAGGTCAGGGATGAGGAGAGAACATAGGGCCTCCTGAGGTTTTTTCCTAGGATTTTTTTTCCTAGGTTTCTAGATTCCCAGGAACAATTGGGAGCTGTTCAAGCTTTTATTACCCATTGCTGAGCCTTTTCTCCTAAGCTTTTCAGTTTGTTTACTGTTTGCACCAATTAATGTCCCTTGCCTCTAGTGGCAGTGACAAATGCACTTACCTTTAACAACTTTTGAATGATACCTTTCAGGTAGTTGTCTCATCCTGATTTCAATGTAATAAAGGAAAGTCTTAGGTAGTAATTTTGAGATAGTCATTTACAGAACTACAAGACAAGTCAAAACAAACAGCCACAATTATTTGAGAATAAAGTCCATTTTTCTCCTTCCAATACTAACATATTACACCTTAAATATGGGTTATTTAAGACCACTGCCTTGCTGTGTAGCAGGGGGTGCTTCAAGAGTAAGTGAAAATGACATAAAACTCTATTAACGAGATGTATAGGTTTGTGTCTTAATTAAATGTTCACCTGCTGTCTATAAACTCTTTGTAGAGTTCTAAAAAATATTAACCCAGACAGTCCTTGCCTGTTATTCACTAATTTTGTGGGGGAATGGGCTTTTGAAATTCTGTACTCCCCCATTTTTACTGCCATCATTAACAGGTTCTTTGGACAAGCAATCTAATTTTATTTTAGTTTAGTAAAACTTTAGCTTATATATTTGGATTTACAATTCATCTCCAATTAGTTTTTATGTATGGAGTGAGTTAGGAGCTGTGATTCACTCTTTCTTTCACATGTATATAAAGTTATCCCAGCTTCATTTTGTTTTTGTTTTTTGTTTTTGGTAGGGATTGAATCCAGGGGCATGAACCACTTAGCCACATTCCCAGACCTTTTTATTTTTTATTTTGAGACAAGGTCTCACTAAGTTGCTGAGGCTGGCCTTGAACTTGGCAATCCTCCTGCCTCAATCTCCCAAGACTCTGAGATTGCAGGTGTGGGCCATGCACCCAACCTCAGCTTCATTCATAACTGTATAGAGTTAGTCGTATAAGAGAGAGTCTTCTAGACTCCATCCTGTTTGTCTATCCTTCAACCAGTACCAGACTTTCTTAATTACTGTAGTCAAAGATAAGTTCTAAAATCAGGTGGATTATATGTCCTTCAACTGGATTACTCTTTTTCAGGATTGTCTTGACCATCCTTGTTGCCATATAAATTTTGGAATGAGATTATTTCTCTACGACTATTGGAGAGGCTTAGATTGATATTGGGATTACATTGAGTTTATAGATAAATTTCCCTACTTCCTCTGGAGCCCATTTTAACCAGGTCTTTACTCCCTTGTCATTCCATCCAGGTAGTTCTCCTCCAGGTTACTAGTGACCCTCATGTCTCCACATTCAGCAGTCAATTCTCAGTCTTCATCTCACTTGTCACCTTAAGAGAGCCCTGTGCAACAGTGGCCTCCCACAGCACCGTGTCACTGGTGACCCCTGACATGCTTTTCTTCCATAACATTTGTCACCATCTAACGTACTCCACATGTTCTCGTCTATCTGTTACAAGTCTCCTTGTTTTGTGCACTAAATCTCCAGGATATAGAACAGGGCCAGGGAAATAAGAAGCCCTTGAAAAGATTTGTTTAAAAAGGGAAGGAACAGAAAAGAAAAGGAAGGAAGGAGGGAGAAAAGGAAGAAAGGAAGGAAGGAAAGAGGGAGGGTGGAGGGGAAGCAGAGAAGGTTTGCCCCCACCATACCATCATCTTTCTGATTTTTACATTACTCCTTATGGCTAAGATATTTGTGAAAACAATTCCAGAGAGAGAGAGAGAGAACAAAAACCTGGGGCGGAAACTCAGAAACCCAGAACATTTATAAGGAGATGGAAATTTTCTACATGATCATAAAGAAGGGGAAGGAATAGAACAAGCACTGATCAGTGTAACCAGACTCTGTGAGGCAGGGGAATTGCAAAAGTCAGGGAGGTATGGTTCCATCACAGACATACCAGAGAACTTCCCTCCGTGAGGGAACCGAGGGGCAGAGCAGGCAACTGGTCAGGAGACAACACAGAGCCCTGTGGCCACAGGTCTTATGGGGCTGTGTGCCTGGAGAGTGCTGTTCAGAGACTCACCTCTGTGATATTGAGCCGTAACTATAGCAGGGACCACAAAGAACACATCTCCAAGCAAGTCCAGGAGACTGTCTCGGATGTCAATCAGGGAGTTCTTGTCATGGAAGTATTCTTTAGACACAGTGTACAAGTATTGGGTAGAGATTTTCTGTAAAAAGTCATGGTTAGAGGAGATCCGGGTCAACAGACATGGCTGATACATTAAGCATTAGCCTGGGCAGGCATCATTCAGAATCATTGCCTCATTGAATCCATGTAGCCCTCCTATGATCCAAGTATCAAAATTAGCTCCATTTCAGAGAAGAAGACTGACACTTAGGCAAAGTGGTTGGTGGAACCGTGATTCCTCTAGAAGTCTATTTGCACCCAAATACCATGCTCCTAACCACAATACACATGCCTCTCTTCCATGTTTCAGAAAGAGTGACTCCTGAGCAAAACAAGCTACATCATTTGTGGGGCTTAGTGAAAAATGAAAATGTGGCAACGGCGGAGCACTATATCTCATGGAGGACCCTTTTGAATGCAAAGCCTTTTATGACTACACCTGCCACACATCCAGGAAACTGGCCCTGCTCCTAGGACCAGCACTGCCACTAGCCCTTTGCCATTTTACCTGAGCTAGATAGTCTCTTGAATGTATTTGGAGGATTTGCCTGAGATGTGAAGACAAAAGCATGCTCCTGGCACAAAGTGGGTCTTCAGATCTGCTGGTTCCCCTGAGCCTCCTTCTTTGACCCGACACCAGCCTGCCTCAGTCTTCTCCCCGTCAACTTGCCCCAAGCACAAACAGTACAAGGTGGAAAGTAAACTTTCTGAGGATTCAAGGGTCTCCCTCATTGATGATGCTTTAGGTGGGGGGCCTGGTGCTCTATGAGATGCTGGACAATTTGCTGCAAGTTACACTGCTACCAATAATTCAGTGGCATGACCCTTGGTAGTTTTCTTTGGAATTTGGAGGAGGCCACATATAACACATCTGGCAGTTTTGCTCAGAATCATTTATCAGGTCCTCAGAGAGATGATCGTTTTTAATCTAGCCTAAAATGAGGGTGGGCTCTGCAGCAGATGTAGGCCACCATGAAAGGACCTGGTCACTTGAACCATACAGCCAGCAGACCTCGAGGTACTGGAGACATCCACAGCGGGTAGAGAAGCTGTGAGGAGTGGAGTCCCCACAGACTCTCACAGTGTTATGCTTTGGGTATGAGGTGTCCCTCCAAAGCTTACAAGTGAGACAATGCAAGAAGGTTGAGAGGAGAAATGATCGGATTATGAGAATTTTAACCAGATCAGTGAATTAATACCTGATGGGATTAACTGGGTGGTAACTAGCCACAGGTGGGTTGTGGCTGGAGGAGTGCTTAAATTGGGGCCGTGGCCATGGGGTATATACTTTGTAGGTGGAGAGTGGAGTCTTTCTCTGCCTTCTGACATGAGCTGCTTCCCTCCGCCACACTCTCCTACCATGATGTTCAGCCTCACCTCGAGCCCCCCCCGAGGAATGAAGCCAGCCTTCTCCATAGAAGACCTCTGACACCGTGAGCCCTCAAATAAACTTCTCCTCCTTACAGTTGTTCTGGTCAGATGGTTTAGTCACAGCAGTGAAAAAACTAAAACACCTAGCATCCAACCCTAGGGTTCTGAGCAAAGGCTATATGGTCTGCATCAGAGAACTATTTACCATTTACAAAGCAACTCCTGCATTCTGGCAGGCTTAGGAGAGCCATCACACCCTTCCCTTCCTCGTGCACCTTCCCACACAACCTACTCCATGCCCCTGGGACTTGGCTCGAGATACCATCTCCGCTTGAAATGTCGCCCTTCTCCAGCATTCCCCTGCTCTAAGAAATGGATAAATGACCATCTCCTCCATGAGGCATCTGCCATCTGGCCAGAGAAATTTCACCATCCAACTTATATTTTAAATATCTCTCAAACCAAACTTAGTCTCAATTCTCATTATCAGACAGCCAAGAATCCTCAAACATCCCTTGCCAAGCCTTATTAGGGCCTAAGGGATTTCCTGCCCCCCGGGTTGGGCCCACTTAGTGGCCGGAAGGCACTTTCTAAAGTGGAAATGGAATCATTTGCTTTTCATTCTGCTCCCAGACCTTGGGAGGAAGTTCACCTTCCTTCTCAGCTGCCAACAGCTTCAAGCCTCTTCGCCTGCTGCTGTCCAGCCCTCAGCTGATCTCTGCAGATCCCTTAGTTCCCGGGTGGTCCTCAGGGATCTTCCCAAGCTCCTCTTACCCAGGACCCTTTAAAATTCTTCTTTCCAGTGGAACCCCTTATGGGCACTAAAAGGCTCAGGCTCTGCTCTTCTTATGCACTGTCATGTCCGTGCACCTGACATTGCACCCCAGTGCCTAGGGAAATCCCGGGACATGTCAATAAATATTTGTTCCGTTCATTTCAATCAGTGAATGAAATGAATCAGCACTGAGTACATGCTAAATAAATATTTACAGAAAAAAGGAAGTTGGAAGGAAGGAGAGAAGAGAGGAAGGAGGGAGATATGTCTCTACACCCTAATGTCTAAAGTAAGACGTGATGCTTCCATGTCTTACTTGAGTGAATGATTGAGTAATAAATGAATGAATGACTCGATGATGGTATGGCTGGAACATAGCATAATACCTAGAGAGCATGCAGTAAATATGGTTCCCTAGTCCCATGTGGGTTTCAGAATTCAGAACCTTTTAAATTTTAGATAGATAATACAGTACTTATGCAGTGTGTTATGTAACATGCATGGGGTGGGAAGCAACACCCCAACACCCACATTAGTATGCCCACATAGAAACATGAATAGTAAGATAAATACAGTGAATGAACATATTGGGACAAAAAAGCTTGGCCACTGATGAGTCTAGGTCAGGGTTAGCCCATAACCTGCCATTGAGTTATAAAAAGCCTTTGGATTTTTGGTGCCCTTTGGATTTGGAGAGTGTGGATAAGGGATTGTGGGCATATACTTAGTAAAGTTCTGTTGAATCAATGAGTGAATGAGGAATATCTATATGCCAGTGTCTATGCTCTAAGAATGTTTGTGCAAATTGGGATGAACTTCCCAAATGGATTTCTGGAGAGCCACCACATCCCAGTTCACTTACCAAGAAGGACTGTAGCAAGTTAAAAGCATGAGTCTTGTTGGAGCCTTTGAGGATGTCAGGAGTCTCCAGCTGAGGAGAGAAGCAGAGTATCTTCTGTGAGCCATTGGGTCTTCCAGAAGTAAATCAGTTTATTCAAGACCTGAACACCTGACGCTGATGGGGTGGGAAGAGCAGGAACCCTCTCAGCCCCAGGAGCTATGTAGCAGCCTTGGTGAGATATATAATTAATAACTTCTTCTTCTCCTCACATTTGACGGCCATTCCCTGTCTGACCCAGGGCCTTACGGGTCAGAAAAGTCCCTGTTACAAACTGAGTTTATTTTATCCCTCCTCAAATTCATATGGTACCATTCCGCCAACACCTCAGTACATGGCCATATTGGGAAATAGGACCTTTAAACAGGTGCTTGTGTTAAAATAAGGCTGCAACAGTGGGACCTCATACAGTCTGACCAGGTTCTTATATAAGAAGTGAAATTCAGACACACAGAGATAAGGAAATTGAACATATGGGACAAGACTACGGGAGGACAAAGTTAGAAAGCAGCCATCTACTAGCCAAGGAGAGCGACCTCAGAAGAAAGCAAAGCCCACTGACACCTTGATCTTGGAACTATGAGATATATTTCTGTTGTCTAAGCTACTGAGTCTATGGTTATTTGTTACAGCAGCCTGAGATGACTAATACAAGCCACAATTTGGCTTTGACACCAAGTTTCAAGAGGAGTCAGAAAATCTCAAAGGTAGTGGTTTGTTATTCTCCTTCTAAAGACCTGTACAACCAGGGCCTCTGAGAAGCCACCAGTGGGAGGTAGTCAGCGTGGTTGAGAACACAAGTGCTGTGGAGCCAGACAACCTGGATTTGAATCCCTCCCCTGCCATGTACCTGCTGTGAACCTGGGGACTAACTTAACTCTTCCTGCCTTAGATGCCTCGTTTATAAAGATGGAGATAGCAAAGTCCCCGCAGGACAGAGCTGTGTTGAGTACTGAGTAAGCTGATATTTATAAAGCATTTTCAAGGATGTTTGGTATGTAGCAAGAGCTTCATGTAATTGTTTATTAAATGATCATTTCCTGGCAATAATACAGCTTAAAACATCAGGGGGTAGAAATACTGTTGACTGATCAAATGAATTTCCTTGGTACCTTTTCTGTTGAAAATCTTGGGGGAATGATTCACCAGGAAGATATTTGTTCAGGAAACTCAGGGAACACCCAGTGTGTCATTCAACACATCCACAAACATATTTTATATACTAAAACTCCTCAGTGTACAGTAAGGATCTGAGATTTGGTTTGGGAGGGTTACCTATGGTCTCCATCAGCCAGGAATGGGTTTAACTGCAAGTTTATATGGAATATTTATACCCATGTAGGCCCTTGAGCTCTGCAGATATGAGTACCAATTCCCATTCCATCACCAGAACAAATTCCAATAGCCAGCATTTACTGAGCACTTACTACATGCCAGGCTATTTGATGTGTACCTGTGAGGTGAGTCCTAAAATTAGCCCTAGAGATGAGAGAACAAATGTTTAAAGAGGCTGAGCTACTCACCTAATGTCACAAATCAGATAAGCAGAGAACTTGGCATTTAAAGATGGGGCCTACATGCATAAAAATGATTCACCACTGGGTTCTTACAGGACTCAGTTGGCTCTCAAAGCAAGTCCACCTCATTTACTTGGCCCTTCTGCACGCAGCCAAAATTTCCCTTTCTACTTCTCCACCCTGTTGTATCAAAGCTAGGGAGACTAATGCAAAATACTAGCACCATACTGTTTGGACTTTTCATCCACTGAAATTATAAACCACATACACCTCTCTCATTTATATTACCTGGTACCTGGTATTCTGTCATAGCAACCCAAACAGACAAAGAAGCCCTGTTTCAGACAGATTATCACCAGGTACATGGTGATGGGCTGTAGCCCTCATAACGCTGTGTGTCATCTATGAAAATGCCAGCCACTGCTGAGGTGGCTGCAGGGAGGACAGCCAGGATTCTCACCATGGGCAGCAGGAAGCCACACTCGTGGTTATTGACTCCAATGATAGAAGGAATTGCTTTATATGTTTTGTGAATCAGTACATCTAGTGGGTCTTCAGGAAAGAATTTACCATCAACCACTCGAGTGAAATGTTTTGCTTTCTGCAATAAGAGAAGAAAAATCAGCATCTATTCATGTTCCCAAAATTGCTGTCCCCAAATCCTTTGAGACAGGATTTGGGGACAGCAAACAGATCTAGTCAAGGAGTGGTCAAAATGCATGAAAAGAAAAGGAAAAATTTTGGCCCAGTCCAATGTATTAGTTTCCAATCAGCCCTGCCACTTATCTGGGCAGAAAGGCTGAACTTTTCTATTTTTTTTCTCATCTACTAAATAGAATAATAATAGTATTTAAGACAAATAATGACTTTGTACAGGATTTCTCAAAGTGTGGTTCTTAGACCAGCGGTACTGATATCATCTGGGAATTTGTTAGAAATGCAAATTGGCAGGCCTCACTCTGGGCCTCTCACTTTGGAAGTGCAGCCCAGCAAACTTCTTGTGGCAAATCCTCCCAGTGATTCTGAGGCATAGCCAAATTCGGTGGGCAAAATGGGGAGGAATGGAATAACCTGGACAGTAGGGATTGGTACAGCCAAATTCCTGAGACGTCAAAGCACCGTACTGTGGACAGGGCAGATATTTTGGGGGGTCTCAGAAAGCAACAGCTGACTGTGTTCATAGCTTTGTTTGTTTGTTTCTGTTTTGGGGAGTCAGGCAGAAAAGAACACACAAAAGAGCCCGACAGCATCAGGTCAAGGATGTATTACCCATTCGTGGGCTCTAGCACGCAGATATTCAACACATGCCAAATAATTAACATGTTTGAATTTGACAGATGATCTCCTTGATCTTTCAAGGACTAGCAAAGATTATCAAAACTGGAAGGGACATAAAACATCATCTAGTCCAGACTTTTCCATCTAGTGATGGAGATTTGCCAACAGTCAGCCAGACCTGGCTTGAACATTTTCAGAGGTGGGCCCCTCCCTGCCTCTTAAAGCAGCCTGGTCCTTTTACAGACAACTGAGGTTTTTAGAAAGTTCTCAGTTATAGGAAACCAAAATGACTTGGTAATAGACTCTCCAGCTCTTGAGGTCAACTTTGGCCTCTGGAAGCATGTGGAACACGAGCTGTCCATCTTCCCAGGCAGACACCTTCAATGTCTTAATGATGACCCTTGTATTTTGCCGGACCTTTTCCAGGCTAAGCAGTACCCATGCCCCATCAAGTTCTTTAAGTCACCTATACATGTTCTATACCCCACATTGTTCTTTACAGTTATTACCACGAATCCCCACTTTTTTTTTCCAAGTCCCAAATCAAACTAAATAACAGAGGGGTAGGATTTTCCATCAATCCATTCAAAGCACAATCCTACCCTGAAACTCGCCCCTCCCTCATTACCTGGCTGAGATTCAGCAACTCCTCAGGGGATTTTGCCCTGAGGCACTTCAGTAGGGCCTGGGAGTTCGAGGCATTGGAGCCACAGGCTTCTGCAATGATCTGCATCTATTTCCAGAAAAGGAGCAGGTCAGAGTATGGCACTGAAAGCATTGACCAAAATGAAAGTTGGAGAGTGTCTTCTGAGCAGCCTGCTGCCCTTCCCCAGCCCCACACATTTATTTGGAAGGTATCATTAAGTGTATATTTAGTCTCTGGCCTGCACTTCCTGTCCTCTTTAGCAAATACCAGAGATGGAGACTGGGATTTGACAGCCCATGGCCGTGGACTGGAATCAAGGTTCCTGGTCCACAGAGAAGTCAGTCTTGTGAACTCAGCTGCATGGGCACCAGGCCCCAGATGGAGCCAGGAGCCCCAGGATTGATGCGTGATTTTGAAAGCTCCTTCCTCATCAGCTGAGGCACCATTCTAGATGAATGCTTGGCTTGTCAATTCTGCTCAAGCCCCAGCTACTCGCACAGCCTGCAGCTCCCGGGCTTTTTCCTGTCTCTACAGACCAGGGTCACTCCTCCTCCTCCTCCTCCTCCTTCTTCTTCTCCTTCTTCTTCTTCTTTTTTTTTTTTTTTTTTTTTTACTTTTTTCCATGTTTTGTATTTAAAACTTTGTGTTTGTTTCTATTTACTTTTATCCACTCTCTTTCTTCAAGGCCCAGGTCCTTCCTCTTGAAATGGCTTTTCTGTCAGACCATTGCATCCCCCGCAAACCCCTTCTTCCTACAACCTCCTGTCACCCCAGGGATCCCCCCACTTCCTTGCCTAGCTCATTGCCCTGTCATTGAACCCTCCATAATGGTAGAATTTGTCCTTGCTTATTCTTCTAGGAGTCATGGATACTCTGAGAATTCAAGGTAAGCTGCAAATACTTTAGCAGGGGAGAGTGCACAGCGTCTAGAGTCTTCATGCTATTGAAGCATTCAAGGACCACCTCCCACACCTACCCACAGACACCAGGTTAAAAAAAAGAAACCTGTGATAAAAATATCAGTCTTCTCAAGTTTTATACATCCTTTCCCCACTGATAAACCCACAGGGCCTTGGGAAAATAGTAGGCACTCAATCAATGTTTCATAAATGAATAAATACATGTGAAAACTGAAAGTAACTGTGTCAAGAGTATTTTCACAATTTTGTGATTCCACATTTCTGTGTTTTGAGTTCACTGTTATTGGTTATGTGATATTTAAGAAAATGCATCCTATATGTCAGGCACAGTGGTACACACCCATAGTCCCAGCTACTTGGGAGGCTGAAACATAAGGATCAATTGAGCTCAGGAGTTGGAAACCAGAAATATCTCATCTCAAAAAAATATATAAAAATAAAAAGAGACAGGCACCTCTAAGATGATTACTACTCGGGGACAGCTCCGTAGCCTGGTGTTTGATTAATGTGTGTTGAATGGGCCAGTTCATCCAATCACCCCTTCGTTCATTCAGCAAACATTTTTGGTTGCTTAGTATATACCAGGCATTATGCCTGAGGCATGAAGGACAGAGAAACCTTGTTCTTCAGGTCCTTACTGTAAGTAGGGAGCTAAGACAAGATGACAGATAGCAAATATTGGGGACATACGCCCCACCTCACCCCCTTCAAAATCCCATGCCCAACACCAATGGTCAGTCACAGTGTTATTTCCCATTGAGTTGGAAACAGCCTCAGAATCTTTCTTAACACAGTAGTCTACATTGCCATTCCCTATAGAGTAGAGTAGGTATAAAAGATGTTCTGCATAGACTCACAAAACTGAATTATGTCCTCAGGGAGATAATAGTGGACAAGATGTGAGACCTGTAATATACATACACACACACTCAGGTGCAACAGTGATGTTGCATTCAGTATCTGGATCCCTTTGCTGCTGAGCCAGGTCTTCCATGGAGAAACAGGTCCCACTGAGGCCAGCACAAGGTCCTTGGGCGTGGCCCATGAGGAAAACCAGGCGCACAATGAGAAGGTGGCTTGACATACACCAGATCTTAAGCTGGGGGCAGGAAGCGTTTACCATATACCTACATCCTCCTTTCTCTCCACATCCTGGGACTTCAGGTATGGGATGATGGCCACTCCACTCTCCATGATGGCTCTGTGGAATAAGCCATTGCTCATGGGGGACAGAATCTGGAGAGAGAACACAGGACATGCAGGGAACATTATCTTGGGGATCCCCACCCTTCCTGCACACCATCCATCCCTCCTGAAGGGCTCTAACCTCAGAGTGGGAGAAAGAGCCCTGGTGTCAGACTCAAGAATAGATGTGAAGCTTTGGGCAAGTTCTTTAACCTCTCTTGGGCTCTGGTTCCTCATAAACATTTCAGTCAAACATTCTAGTACATGAGTTCCAGCTCCTTCACTTCTCAGCTGGGTCATTTTAGACAAGTTAAGAATATTTCCAAGTACTAATTTACTCCACTGTTGAACTAGAGTTGAAACTCAGCCTAGATCACAGAACTGTTGTGAGGAGGAGGGGAAATAGACAATTTAGAAGTCTTCACGCAGTGCCTGGTCCAATTTCAATCATGAAGGTGGTGGTTGTCCTATAGGTAAAGTTAGGTTAATCTTGTCTGCATTAAAAGGCAACTTTGACGATATAAAAATAACTTAAATATTGTCAAGGGCTATACAGCAGAAGCTTTCTTAACCCCCTGCCATGTAAACAATTTCTGTAACTGACGTGCTAATTTATGCCAAGGAAATGCTGGCCACTCAGAGCCAATGGGCCTTCTTCTAGCACCTCTGAATGTTTCTGTTTGCTGAGCATCAGGTGTGTTTGCTCCCAAACTTGTTTTGTCAATTGCACTTGTTATTCTAATTATACATAATTATTGAGCTCTTATGGAAACCATTTGGCTATACAAGTAAAAAGAAGACATTATGTCTGGGAAGAAAACCTTGAAAAAGATGAGTGGCCAAAAAGTATCTTTGTCACCCTAAGTATAGACGAGAGAAGAGTAAAATAGTTGGGAGGAAGTTTAAAAAAACCTCCCGAATGTGCTGCTGCAAGACTACTTTGCCAACATCTTTAAGCTTACATTCATTGTTAATAAATGAAAACTGCACACACCTATAATCCCGGAGATTCAGGAGACTGAGGCAGGAAGATTGCAAGTTTAATCAAGATCCTGTCTCAAAATTAAATTTTAAGAAGGGCTGGGGGTTGTAGCTCAGTGGCAAAGGACTTGCCCAGCCTGTATGGCTCATGTAAGAGGAACTCTAGTGAGCAGACCATCTCTGAAAAGATCATACCCTAGCTAGGCATGATGGTGCACACTCATAAGCCCAGCAACTTGAGAGGCTGAGGCAGGAGGTTCACAAGATCAAGGCCAGCCTCAGCAACTGATTGAGATCCTGTCTCAAAATAAAAAATAAAACAGGGCTAGTGATGTAGTTCAGTCATAGAGCTCCCATGGATTCAATCTCCAGTTCTGCAACAACAACCAAAATCATAAATAATAATAACAGCACTCTGTATAAAACCATGGTGAGGGATGTGCATTTTTGTCTTTTCAATTAAAACAAAATGTTCATACGCATCTTTTGTAATTTCATGCTTAGCTCTGTTTTTCTACTGAACAATGCTATGGTTTGGACTATGGGTGGATATGGTGTTGGAAGCTTGGTCCCCAGGGTGGCAGTATCAGAAAACTGGTATCATATGGAAGCTTTCAGAGGTGGGGCCAGTGGGAGGTCACTAGCAGCCCTGCCCTTAGAAGGGATTAAGTCAGTTCTCACCAGAGGGTTGCTATAATGGAGCAAGCCTGACCCCACCAAGCTCTCTTGGCTTCCTGGTTTTGAGATGTAAGACTTCCTCCTACGTGCACTTCCGCCATGATGTGATGCTGTCCACCACCCTTCCCAAAGGCCCAACCAAGGGGGCTGCCTGATCCTTCATTTTGAGCCTCTGAAACTGTGAGCCAAATAAACCTCTTACTTTATACAGGAGCCTGTCTCAGGTAGTTTGTCAAAGTGAAGGCACCAATTAAATTTAAGTCAGTCATTATCCTCACTCTTGTAACCTTCCCCACCAAGGTTCACTCAAGTCACAAAGCAGAAAACTCACCAGGCCAGAAACACTTATGGCTCCAGCTGACTCTCCAAAGATGGTCACAGAGCCAGGATTCCCACCAAAGAACATGATGTTCTCCTGGATCCAGGATAGAGAAGCCACCTGGTCTTTGAAGGCCCAGTTCCCTGAGGCATGCTGGTCCTGTGTGCTGGGGGGGCAAGAGGCAGAGTGAGAATTTTTAGTCGGCCACTGGTTCTTGCAGCCCCAAGTTCTCAGAGAGCCTGTGGGCAGGTGTCAGCTGGGAGAAGCTGGGGAAACCAGGCCTAGTTCTTATCCTTTGTTGGGATTTGGGTTTCTGTGAGAACCTGGTGAAAACTATGCACCCCAGGAAAAAAGAAACATACAATGTTGAAACATGATTCCAGAGAATTCCTAGGTTCCCTGAATCCCTGGAATCCAGAAGATTCCCGCTGCTGAGATTGATCTGTACCAATTGTTCAAGGTCTTCCTGGGCACAGAGATTCCAATGAACGACAAAGTTAGTAACAATAATGGCAATCACCACAGAAGCAGGGTATGTCTGACACTGCTCTGTGGGGTTTGTGGCTAATTCTGGTCACAATCTGAGAGGCAGGTAGTTCTGCATCTTTTCCTCTTTGTCTCTCTGGGCCTTCTCTGCCCTGTTCCTAAAAGGCGGCCCTCTAGGACTTGCACAGGCCAGGCTTAAGCTGTGTGCTCTCAGTGGAAGGCTTTGACAGGTGCCTGAGGGTGCAGTGGAGAGATCTGAACGTTCACCACACCACTCTGTTCCCTCCGCATCTGGGGGTGCCTTGGGCAGTGGCCACATTTGTCCACAGCCAAAGCTCATGCTCATTTTCTTTAATGAAATATGGAAGCCTGCCATCAGGATACTGATGGATACATAATCTCTCTCAAACAGTCTAGGAAATTCAGGCACCGAGGTTAAATCCCCTTGTTAGAGAGAGCTAGAACGTTGGAGAGTTGGGATCCAATGAGTCTGGCCCCAGAGTCCATGCTCCTAACCACGCCCCATGTCGCTGCCCCTGCTGCCTGTTTCCCAGAATGAATGAACAACTCCGAGGGGATTGTTCTGAGGGTACAAGGGAATATGCCACAGAACCAAAAACATCCATGCAGTGCACACCGGAACCTGAGCAATCTCAGGATCACTTTTTTCTCCCCTGAACTGATCCCCCCTTGGGTTCCTTTCTCTGCCTATGACCTCTGGGATGGTTCTTCCTACACCTGCTCACTCACAGATCTCTCCAAGATCTGCAATTTTACCTCCATTCTTTGGTGAGCTCCACATTGGTCTCCATCCCTCCCTTTCTGTGTATCCTGAGAAGCATTTTACTTAATGGTTAAGACCTCAGCCTTTAGCACAGGAGTCAGAGCCTGGTCATTCGTTATCTGGATGATCTTGGGCAAGTCACTTAACTGGATGAAGCTCAACGTTCCCAGGTTAATAGAAAGGAGAATAACAGTGCCCACTCTCTATGGTTATTGGGAAGATTGCCAGTGACACAGGTGCACAGGGTCATAAATGTATTTAGTGTGATTTTTATGATTCAGTCTTCTATGGAACTCTTTGCTAAGCAGACACCCAAACTCTCCTCCCCAAATCCAACTCCATCTTTAAGGCACAACTTAAATGCCACCTCTCTGCAGAAGCTCCCAGATCCCTGGAATCTCCTTCCTCATTTCCACACCCCCTTGCTCTCACTCTTGGACAATTACTCCTGTTTTGCAAATGTGGATATGAGCATCCCTGCGTCATCTCCCCGACTTGCCTATGAGTGTCTGGGGATAGGATTCCTATGTGAATCATTGCTGCCTTCTCCACAGTGGGTGACAGCCACCTCCAAACAGCACCATGGCCCCACCTCTCCCTACCTCTCTTTGCTCACACTGCATCCTGGATTTAGACTGCTATGTTTTAGGCAGGATAATACAGGCAATCAAGAGACCAGCCGTGTTCTATCACTTCTCTGTACCTTCATTTTTCAGCTGTCTAATGGCAATAACATCAGAACCTTCCTCATACTATCATTTTAAGGGTGAGTTGAAATAACACAAGGCAGGTGCATGGTATCCTACCTGACTCACAGGGAGTGTCCAAATACATGACAGGTATATACACGGGGAAGGAAGGCCAGTGCCATGGAGGAATTAGTCTCAGGGGAGCCTTGAAGTGGGGTCTTATGGTAGACACTACTAACTGCTCACACAACTTGTCTGTCTTCCACATCTCAGGGATGAGCTACATTCCACATCTCCCTGGCAGTTGGCTGTGGTCCCCAAAGGACTGAGTTCTGCCCAGTGGTATGTGAACAGAAGTGATGAGCGCCACCTTCAGGCTGACCCAGGAAAGCCGCCCTCAGGCGATCCTCCATTCTCTTGCTCCATCTGCTGGCCAAGTGCAGATCTGGGCCCTAGAGAATCTGTATCAGAGCCACAAGAAGGAAAGAACCCAGGTGGTCCCTGACTGCCCATGTGGAAGGATGTCTGTCAATCATGAATATTCACATGGACTTTACTTGAGATTTTTTATGTTTTAAAAGGCTTGGAGGTTTATCTGTTATAGCTGCTAAAATTACCTAACTAATGAGGGCCAAATGTGTTCATTCCCTCTAGGTTTTTGGACACTGCTCATGGCTACTGCACAACTGTCTCTTGAGGATCTGGAATGTCAGTCACCTGGGGAGACTCACCTGAAGAAGCCAAATATTCCCAGCCGGTACTGGGCGGTCACGATCAGCACATTCTCATAGGCAGCCAGGGCAGACCCATCAAAGATGGAGGCTGAGCCGCTCTGGAAGCCACCGCCCGGAAACCACACCATGACCTAAGGAAGAGAGTGGAACACTCTGCTCAGCCACCAGGCACCCACATCCCCTCCCATGAAAGTTGGGATTTTTTTTTCCTTAGGGAATTATGAAGATCTCACTTTTCCTTCTAAGTAGGGTCTGACCTTTTATCTTGATGAGAAAAATTGGGCTCAGGGAGCATAAAACCTTATTCAGATGGTGTTATCACTATTTCTAGAAGTCTCCCTTCCGTTCTCTTCCGTTCATGTCCGAGACTGTAACTCATGGGCAAGAAAAGAGAAGAAAGCCATGGAGGGAAAGTACAGCCAGACACAGCATGGACTTTGATGCCAGGACCCAGCCCTGCCATGAGTGTGTGTGCACCAGACTAAGTCACTTATTCACTTCCTGTGCCTCATCTTCCTCGACATAAAATGGGTCCGATTGTCCTCATGCACTGGGTTATTGTAGGAATGAAGTGACATAAAGCGCCATCGGTGCCTAGCATATAGGGAGCTCTCACTAGATGCTGCTGTTACTACACAGAAGAATGAGTCTCCCATTGCAGAGCCATGGCTATGGGGAGAATCGGTGCTGGGTGTGGACGGTGTGGCTAAGGGGTGGGTGTGGCTAAAAAACATAACCCTGAACCTCCCACCCTACTCCCTTCTACAGGGATCTTTTACGTTCTTAAATGATATACTTAACCTGACTGTCTTAATGGAAAACATAAGAGTTGGAAGATGTTATAATCCTCTGTTTAAAAAAAAAAAATCCTCAGGGGTGGGGTGGGAATTCTCAAATTAAAGAAAGAATGGTTTCAAGACGTGTCTTTCCAGAAGGTTTATGGATCATTCAATACTCAATGGAGAGGAAAAAGAAATAGAAATCCAAGGCCAAGCTACTGGCAATCAGAAAAGATGACGAAGTGGATCTATCGATACAATGACTTTTCAAGACAGCGTGAGGCTAGGTTTAACTCCAGATGCCCCGTCAACCTGCCTGAATCCCAGACCAAGGACCTGCCAGCCGGAGCCCCAGGTGTAGCAGGGAGCCTTACAGGGAGATTGGAGCCCCCATCAGCATGTGCTGGCGCGTAGATGTTAAGGTACAGGCAGTCTTCCGACACTCCAAATTTGGGATAATGCACCTTGAGAAAGTGTTGATGTGATAACAGCCACTCTGTGTTCTGGAAGCACCTTGGAGAAAGGGAGAGAAAAGCCCCCAGGTGTACTATCAGCAAACCCTGCCTAGGAGGGACCAGCAGTGAGGCCTGGCCATCTTCTCTGAGCAAGGGAGGTACCTGGGAGCTATTGGTACAAGGTCCAATGGTCCTCAACCCCCATAGTTTTCAAAGCAAACTATTATTCTCTTTGATCTGGTCCCTAGATAGGAAAGCACATTCCGCCAAGTGATTGTACCATTGACCGCACACACCCACCACTGTGATATGGACACACAAACACTCAAACTAGCTCAGCAAGTTCCCAGATTGTGGCAGGCAGGACAGTGGGTTGGCTATCAAAGGCTTTGCTCCACAGCTGCTTTTAATTCCCCAGAGGAGCAAAGGGATATTTCCATATCTCCCCTACCAAGAACCAGCTGAGGTAGATTTGCAGGAGGACCCCAGCACCCAGGCTCTGTTCAAGCTCTCTCTGCCTGGATATATCTGCCAGCTTACATTCTTCCCTTCCTTTCAGATTCAGGCCAAGGACCACCTCCTCTGAGAAGCTTTCTGAGATTTCTCCAGTTTGACCATAACTTTTCTTTGGAAACATTCACATTCTATGTGTTCTGTCTTTAGAACTTGTCCCAGGGTTGTCCATGAACATTATCATCTTTCCCAACTCAACTGTGAGCAGCTAAAACCCAGGACTCTGTATTAGTCACCTCTGTACAGGTTTAGTGGTGTTGCAAGTGTGACTATTTCTACTATACTAAGTGCTCAATTAATATTAGCTGTTTTGTTAATAGAATACTCCACAGTATGGGTGATGGGAAGCCATCACTGCAGACTACCCCTGGTAGGTGTCTTTGCCTTTTTGTATGTTGCTTATCACAAATTCAGGCCTCACAGTTTTCAACAAAGCTACCTCCTAGCTTTCCTCAAAGTTTAGCTGGGTTTTCCATGTTCCCTCCATACCCTTCTCTAATCCCTGTAGTTGCTTTGTCACCTTTTCTTTCATCTCCCCACAAAATGTTATTTATATCTTTCCATGACCACCCTTCTTGAGGGAAACTAACAATAGTTCCATACCCATGATTTTTCTGCTTTACAATAGTGCAAGAGTAATATGCATTCAATAGAAATCGTACTTCAGAGCCGGGCACAGTGGCCAGCAGCTCGGGAGGCTGAGGCAGGAGGATCAGGAGTTCAAAGCCAGCCTCAGCAAAGGTGAGGTGCTAAGCAACTCAGTGAGACCCTGTCTCTAAATAAAACACAAAATAGGGCTGGAGATGTGGCTCAGCCCCTGAGTTCAATCCCTGGTACCAATAAATAAATAAATAAATAAATAAATAAATAAATAAATAAATAAATACTTCAGATTGATCATTCCCTGAGTTAGATATCTGCAGTTCAGCCATGGCAGTGAGCCTTAGCTCCCAGTCAGCCATATAATCACAGTGGAAACAAACCATACTCCTCAGTGTTCTGTGTGGCTGAGCTATGACATCCTGTAGGTTAGATGTACTCAATGTACCTTTTACTTACGTGGGCTTCCCAGAACATAACCCGCCATAAGTTGAGGAACATCTATAATTCTCTGTTGACATCCCCAGGGCAATGGAGAGCCAGTTACTGAGTTGGTTCTCAGTGGATATTAAATCAATGAACCAATGAACAGATGACTTTTGTCTTAGTGTTCTCAGTCCCTGGCCACATGAGGTCATTTTCTGTGGCTTAGGAAGCATCCAGCTCCAACGTATTCCTTTGGCCTGTGACCTTAATACCAGGAATTAATGTAGTCCAACCTAGGGCTTCACAAAATCTGAAGAATCAGAAGATTCTTAGGGATTTTAAAGTCTTGACTCCCCACCCAGAAGTTTCACCTCCTCCACCATTAACCTGGTGACTGATTATCCATGCAAGTTCAAACCCTGCAGCGACTGGGAGCTCCTCACCTTCCAGTCCTTGCATCAGTGCCATTTATGTGATCGTGATCATCCCACAGGTATTTATGGATTCCGCTATGGGCCAGGCATTGCATTGGGAACAGTTTTAAATATGTGAGCTAAAATCCCTCTCGTGTAGTTCTTCTCTGACTCCAGAGACGAGGTGAGGTCATTTGGAAACACGTGGGCAGTTTCCTTCTGACCAAAAGACTCAAGGAGCCCACTGTAGCACTTCTAAGTTCTGGTTGGTACTCAGAATGCCTAGAGAGCTTTCAGATAGCACATATTTTGGGGTCCAGTTCAGGATGTTCTGACTCAGGAAGTTGGGAAGGGAGACTCAGGATTACATACATTTTTAACAATGCCTCCACTGTCCTGGTGGTCACCCAGTGTGGAAGCCCCGAGATTGCTGAAGCAAAGGTTCAGGTCTGTGGCCCTCTTTTCCTCCTTCTCATCTTCCTAATCCTCAGTGTTCTCCCTTCTTGTCCCCTGGGTTACATGACCTTCATTGCCCTGTCAGTGATCTGCCCCCAAATCCCAGAATCACAGGCCACCTAGAGAACTAAGCCTAGTCTTACAATGGAGGGTAGGAGGTGGCATTACGCAAGCCATCCCAGGGACTTGCAGGTTGAGGGTCCGTAAATCGCAGGGGTCCCACAGGGGGTGCAGCATAAGGGATCCCAAGGAACACGTTCACAAGCACTTGGCTTCCCAGCACAGAGACTTGCTTCCCCTTGACCCATCCCATGCTGGTGATCCTCTCTGGCATTTCAGCCATGGCCCCTGAGAAACAGATGGAAAGAATGAGGGGTTAGGTGGGAAGAGAGAGGGAATCGGTGGAAGCCAGGGTCCCCTCGGGAATGCTCCTTCTCCACCCAGAGGCCTGCAACAGGAGTAGCTGGATGCCCTCTCCAAGAATCCGTATCCTTCTCTTCCTTCCCACCAGAGCACTGACTCAGATTCCCCTGGAAGCCCATCAATAAGCCACAAAATTTTGGAGGGGTCCCCCTTCTGCACCAAGGCTTTTCCTTTCTGTAGGACTGACACCAGCTGGGCTTTGTAGATGCCAGGACCCAGCCAAATCATCTGCCCAAGGTCCCGCCCCTTCATCATGTCTGCACCCAGGGCATTGTGGCTGGCATGTCTATGCATCACCTGTACACTACGGCTGCTTATTTTTCTGAAAATTAAAAACTCCTTTTAAAGTTTAACCTAGAGGAATCCTAGGTGATAACATCTATAGGACTGTGGTTTTGATGAGTTAGGTGGATGCTGTAGATACGTGTTGAAAATAAATATTTGCTAATGAATAAGAAATACCTCATGTGGATGCCCCCTGAAATCAACTCATCCAGTTCTAGGTGCTTAAACATGGCACCTCGGGACTCTGGGTGTGCAAGTGTCTCATTTTCTGCAAGAATTGTGGAGCCATGGGAAGGAAACTTCCCAGGACTTAGTGAGCAAGATCTGAGTGTCTTGACACTACTTGTTATGATGTTATTATGTTCATGAAAGTCCCATCTTCACAGTCAAGACTCCAGAAGCACAGGTCCCGTACCACATCCCTCCCCAGTTCCCAGAATGATGTGTCTCCTTTCAGAGTGTGAACAACCCAAGGCAGGACCAGGGTCTTTCACACTCTACCTGCCCCTAGGATGGAGGCTTCCAGCCTTTCAGCAACACCAGGACTTTGGGGCCCAGAGGGCTTACTTACATGGGCCCTCAGAGACTCCTGAGAAATCATTTCATTTCTACAATGGAAAACCATCCCTCTCTCCCATCTTCTCCGAGCCTTCCTCTCCCACTGAACATCTCACCCCTGACGATGGTTGCAAGGATCCAAATGGCCCAAATTAGGGCTTGACCTGGATATACCCAATCACCAGTCATCTGGCTGGCCTGCATGAACTCCGCTGCTGGCCTTGGAGAGCTTCAGATTGGACAAGAAAGGGCTTCTTGATAGTAAGCAGATGTTGAGCAGACAAACAGAGGACACAGAATACATAAAGAATAGTACCAGAACAAGATCTCCAAAGGATTTTTCACCAAGCAAGACTTTCCTGTTCTGATTTACATAAGAAGCAGTTGATGATTAACTCTTGTACTGGGGAAGAGCATTTGGTAGGCTTTAGACTTTTAGGATCTGGTAAATCAGGGACCTCAAACTTGGCTACTTCCAGGGGCCAGGAAGGCCGAAAAACAGTGAATGAATGAAGCTTCCTAGGGAGGAACAATTGGGAATGGTGGAGACTGTGGAATGCTTGATAATATATACTTTGTCTAAAGGGGCAGTGACTTCTCAGCTTCAGTAAACATTTGTCCTGTGACAGTGTAGATGGGTCAAACTAGAAGTCAGTAACATCTCTTGGTTTTTAAATGTAGCTTCAATTTCAAAACAAAAAAAAAAAATCACAATGTGAGCTCAACGTAGCATTTCAAGTGGCTTGCATTGTGTCTTGGGTCAGCCCTCTGCAATTCGAATCAAACCCAGGTTTCCCAGTTTGAATACAGAAATTAGGCCCAGAGAAGTGAACCGGCCCAGAGAATTGGTTCTGCCAGGATCTGTACTCAGCATTCTGGGTACTCATTGCATCACGATGTTCTTTCCAATATAAGTTCATGCTCTCAGAAGGATTTGATGGGTGATAGAGAATCCAAGGAAGGACCCAGAAGCATTACCACTCTACCCCCAGCAGCCCAACAGGCTCCTTGTCTCACTTAGCAAAGGGCTCACAACAGGGCTTTCAAATGCTTGGGGGCTGGACTGGCAGATCCTAATTATCAGGAACACTTGTTGAAAATGCACTCATAAGCCCTACCCCCTGGAGATTTGGGGACAGGGTCCTAGAATTTAACAAAGGCAATAATGAGGTTGGAAAGCATCAATAAAATAAAGGGACTATCTCTCAAAAGAATCATCTCATGAGATCTTATATGGGGAGCCACAGAAGGCGTTCTGTGCCTACTGGATATAGAAGTCTGTGCGTCTAGCAGGGAAGACATTCCTTAAGGCCAGAAACAAGAGGATACAAATGCACTTTCCTAAGGCAGATACTTCATAAACCTTTGTCCTCTGGTAAATAATCCTCCTTTCCCCATTCCATCTCTGCTCTTCATACACTGGTGAAAGTTCCACAAATTATGGAAAGACGACTTCAGAGGAATCTTATCTTACAGGAGAGTTTGATTCTGAATTTGGCAAAAAAATATTATTTATAGTTTTAATTAACCTTGAAAATCTTTCAAATTTCCCCTGAAGCGTAGTGACCAACAGTGGATGACAGACCCTATGAAGGATGTATGCGTTAGATCTAAAGAAAGGGATTGTTTATATTAACTGTCTGGATGTTCAAACCATCCACCTTTGAGGTAACTGTGGATCTTTTGGGGTGATTGGATGATGTGTGGTAATTTCTGAAATGTTTCCAGTTTACTGGCAGGGCTTCCTTGCTTAGATTCAGCACTGAGCATAAAAATATTTCACTGCATATTTACAGACATGTTCGCCATTGAGAGGATCAAAAACAAATAGAGTTTTTTAAAAATATTTTATTTTTTAACATGTATTAATTGCAATTAATGGGATTCAGTGATATTTTAACACATGTATACAGTATAATGATCAAATCCAACCTCCTTCATAGCTTTGTAGACATCAAAGCACTCAGCTCATTTTCTGATCACAGGTGGTTAATAGTGTTTGCTAGACTGGAGTCTTAATCTAGCCTACTAAAACCCACCTACATCCTGGCTTTTAAAAAGCTATAAAGAAGAATATGATTCCTTCCACCTAGGAATGTTCCATTTAAGAATGTTTCATCTGAATGTCCATCTCAGCTTTGCCCATGCATCCTGGTGGTTCCCAAAGCTTTGTCATTGACCTATCTTCACAATTTATGTCATTTTCCCTACCAACTTGACTATCCATTTACTTGGTGTTTTTTAAAAATTGACATTTTAAGCAACTATTATCAAGGAAGACTTTATGTACCTAATGCAATGAGGATAGTGTTTTGAAGAGAAGAGAAATATGTTCAACATTTCTATACCACAAAGTCATTCCCCATTCCCCGGCAACCATTATGGTGAATTGATAGGGCATGTATATAGAGAGAGGATCCCCAAAACAGACAAGGTTGAAAATCTGCCTCTTCTATACTATGGATCTTAGAAAGGAGAAGGGAACTGATTTGGTTTACATATGAGATGTCCCCAAAAGCTCATGTGTGAGATAGTACAAGAAAGTTTAGAGGTAAAGGGATGGGATTATGAAAGCTTTTAACATAATCGGTATGTCAATCCACTGATTGGGATTAACTGGGTGGTAACTATAGTCAGGTAGGGTGTCAATAGAAGAAATGGGTCACTGGGGGTGCGCCTTCAAAACTTGTCTTTTACCCTTGTTGAGCAGAGCTCTCTCTCTACTTTCTGTGTTCTTTCCTGAGCTAATTTCCTCCACCACATTCTTCCCCCATGATGGCCTACCTCACCTCAGGTATAGAGCAATGGAGTTATATAGAGCACAAGGAAGCCTTGGTTACCCAGGAGGAGGCAGCACCAAGGTGCTGACCTTGGGGTCATCTCTTGGGGGTCATCTTTGAGATGACCTGGGGCAGACACAGCAAGGTAGAAGTAGTTGGAGAAAGAAAGATCTGAGAAGATGTTCCCACCTCCCTTGGGTCCCCTATTTTTCAGACATCACCACATGGCCTTGAAAGGAACTTGGAAGTGATTGCAGATCTGGTGGGAGCTGGATGAGGAGGAGGGAATACGGAGTACAGGCTCCAGGAGGGGATACGCTTCTTGGGCTTCAGAAGAGAGTGGAACCACAGCATGACCTGGGGTGGATCATTGTGCTGAAAGCTAATTAGGGTACGGAGGGCCAGTGGGCTTTGATCAAGACAAGAAGACAGACCAGGATCCCATCTTTTTAGAATTCGTCATGTTTTCAGGAACACCAGGCTAGAGGAAAACTTGCTATGGAGACCACAACAATAGAAGAACCTCTGCAAGAAGTGATACAGGTGCCCTCTGTTCTTCTACTCATGTGGACACATAAACTACCCCCAACTTGGGTAGCCAGACGCCATCTTGGAAAGAAAAGTTGGTGGAGGAGGAAGCAAATCTGAGAGGCTGTGGGTTTATTTGAAAGAGATTGTGCTTCCTTAGTAGGCAGTTTAAATTACTGAATAGAACTGAGTTTACTGGATTGAATTAGATGTAATTATTTACCATTAATCAGAGGGGTGAGGTGTTTTCTTTTTGTCAAATTAACCAGCATTAGACATATATAAAAGAGATACTATCACCAATCAGAGTTTATCTCTTCTACAAAATTGGAATGGAAAGAGGACTGTGGAGGAAATGGCTTCCTAATTATATATCTTCTATTGCTATTCTGGTTAGTTATCACCTCTGATTAGTTATCAGATGTCCCTTAATATATAGGGTTTATATTCTGGGAAACATGGATGTATCAAGAAACAAAGGTACTAGCTATCATTTGTGGAATGCCTTATAGATATCAGACACCAGGCTAAATGCTTTGTATCTGTTGCCTAATTTAATGCAATTAAATATCACAAGGCTAAGAAGAATCATACCTAAGGCTTGAGCCCAGTTTTTCTGCCCTTAAGTTTCAGGATTTGCAATTTGAGGAGAGAGAGTAGGAAATAAAGGGCAATAGGGAAATCAGGGAGGATGGACTGGCTTCTTCTGACCCTGGCAGTGAAAAATCACCTCATCTTCAGGAAACTAACATCTCCTCCTGGGATCTTCATGTCCCCATCAGTAGCACAGATCAGTGGACTGGAGAGTCACTGAGAAACATAGACCTTTGATCAACTCTTCCTGTTCTCCAGGATTGCTCTTTTTCTATTGTTTCTTATTAGTTATGCACAACATTAGGATTCATTTTGACGTAATTATAAAAGCATGGAATATAATTGGCTCTAATTCAGCCCCCAGTACTTCCCCTTTCTCTCCTCTCCTTCCTCCCCCTGTTTCCTTCCCCTTTTGAAGCCCTGGCAGAGAAAACCGAGATAAGAGCTATCTTACTCTAAGGTTTGGTTTTGAAACCTACACAAATATACCCCTGCTGATAAGCACAGGAGATCAAAGCCGACTTCTGGATTCTCCTAAGGGGAGGCTAAAGGAACCTTGAAGGCTCAGGGAATGGCAGCTGCCTCACGGAAAAACCAGGCTGGAGGTGGACAGGACAACAGAAGGGTGATGGAAACTGGTCACCTAGAAATGCCCCTCACCCCATGTGGATCCAGAGCTGTGAATCTTAGAGCTTCCTTCTTGTCATCTGTTTCTTCAAAGCCATCTCACATTTATGTTGAACTCAAACACTGTAACTTGATTTTCTTTTTGTAAAAATTATTGGTGCATCATAATTAAAAGTAACAGTGGGATGCGTTACACCACCTTCCCACAGTCCCATAATACAATTTGGTCAGTCTCCTTCCCCAGCACCTTCCCTTCCATCTTTTCTCCTCTGGCTCCATCCTACCATTCCAAACCATCACCTCTCTGCACCCCCATCATTGAAACTCCATGTTGCACCCCTCGCTCTCTTCCACCCCGGCACCATCACTATCCCAACACTGCACCCACCACTGCATCCAGGGTTTGTTAATTTTCCTCTCTGATAACATTTGGCTTTGATTATTCATCTGATGAAATCTACTTATCTTTCAAGATCTCACAGAATATCATTTCTTCCATGTGGACCTGCTTATTCCCAAATGTTTGAATCATTCTCTCCTCACCTATTATGCACTGTTTTGATGTCTATAGCCCCAGCCCTTGATGTCTCTATTCTTAGCAATACCCTAGCCTTGTTTTACAGCTGGTTTAGCCATTGATGATGATGATGACTATGACAATGATAAGGGTGAAATCTTTCATCCCTGTTGCAAAACCTCAGCCCACTTCTGGCGTAAGTCATAGCTGCCTTAGACAGTTCTGTGCAGGCCCAGCCTCACTTTGCTCTGGTAGAATACCACCTGAAGCATGTGGGAGCCATTTGACTTTCTCTTTTCTGCCCCCAGGGCCTTCTCCCATGACAAAAATTCCTTCTGTCTTTGTTCAAGTGATACTGGAATCACAGGACAGTTCAAGTCCCCAGAGCTAACCCTCCACAGAAAGGCATGAGAGCTGGGACAGCTCAAGAAGCCTTCACCACGCTGCCCAGTGGGCAGGAGATCTAGAGAAATCGGGTTCTCGTTGCTTATAGCCGCAGTCTCTGCAATCCTCCCTTATTTGGTCTTCATCCTCCTACTTCTTGCTTCTTCTTAAGATCAACTCCTGAGTAAATTACCTTTCTCCTCAAAGTTCTGCTCCAGGTTCTGCTTTCAGGGAATAAAATTAAGTCCATTGGTACTAAAGGAGACTCAGAAGTCAGACCTTTGTGGAATTCTGAAGTGGGATCAGATAGCACCCTATCACTAGGACTCTCCCTGGTGGACTGGGATGAGTTCCAGATGGAGGAGAAGCACTTAAGAGAGCATTAACTCTAGCACTTCAAAGTCTAGAAGCAATGGTAATTCTGAGGATTGTGGTGACGGCTGGCTTTTGTTAACCTCCTTGGAAACATTGAAGAAAATAGTAGATCCAGGTCAATCTGCTATCAACACAGGTATGCCACGAAAATCAGTAAGCTCCCTGGCAGCTTTTAAAGACAACCTTGTGAGAGAAGACGGAGGATTAGAGGAAGGATGAATTTCCCAGCACTACCTTAGCTCAAGATTTAAAAAACAGGAAGATTGCTTCTCTGCAAGTTGTGTAATTCACTGAAATTCAACATTGGACAGTAAAAGAAACCATAGAGACACCGAAAGTAGGAAACTTCTGACATAATATAAGAAGTGATATGTTGAAGAGCACCAGGTGTGGGTGGTGGCAGTAGCTCCAGATGCTGGGGGGGGGGAGGAGCACTGGCATATAGAGAGGAAAGCACAGCAGAAAAAAATATGGCTTGGGGAAACCTATAGAGTAGAAAAGGAGGCTGATATTAATGGACCTAGAGACCGTGGAAAAAGTTGTTGAATAAAAAGCAACCAAAATTGGTCAGCCCACAGGCAAATGGTTCTGTGATAACGAGCGTCTTCAGGGCAGGAACCATTTATAAAAGCAGTTGCCAGACAGAGGCAGAAGATTGAAAGCACATAAGGAA